AGGTTGTGACAACACGCTGGAACGATTTCCACACTTCTTCCTCATCTGGTGTCAAAACTGTATTGAATGCGGAATCATTGAGCAGTTTTTTGATCTGTGGGCCAACAAATACACCTTCCTTTATCTTTGCGTCAGATAAATTTGGAAATACTGATTTCAAGTACTGGAATGCCGGCCCTTCTTTTTGCAACGCTTTGACGAAATTTTTGAATAGGCCAAGTTTTATATGTAGTGGTGGAAGTATTATGCGTTCTTATACCACAAGAGGATCACTTTTAACGTTGTCTTTACCAATTGTGAAATTATCCCGTTTTGGCCAATCTTTTCGGACGTAGTGTTCCTTACGAGCTCGACTGTCCCATTTACACAAAAAACACATATATTGTGTGTATCCCTGTTGCAATCCAGTCAACATGGCAACCACTTTAAGATTGGAACAAATTTTCCAATTGTGTTGATTGTAATTTATCAAATTGAGCAATAGAGCCATTGATTCATACGGTTCCTTCATATTAACAGCATGAGCTAATGGAATAGAAGGTTTCTCATTCCCTTGATGCAGTAAAACGGCTTTCAAGCTCAACTTGCTGCTATCGATGAATAAACGCCATTCAGCTGGATCATATGGCTCACCAAACTCTTCAAACAAGCCGTTTACGTCATGGCAAAAACATGCCTTGTCCTTTGTAGAATAATATTTGTCAAATTTCTTGTGACGATTCCTGTGACAAGAAATTTTGACCTCCTTGCTCAGCATGTTGTGTTCTTTCAAGCGTGATGCCAGCAATTCGGATTTCCCCTTCGATAAGTCGAGATCTCGCACCAAATCATTAAATTCGGATTGTGTAAACAGTTTTGGGTTTCTTTCCAATTCCACCTCGAAGTCTTCCTCGCATTCCTCCTTGAATTCCTCCTCACTTTTTGTAACGGTCGATTCAACAGAGGGCGCTCGTTTCCGCTTTGGATAAACTGGATACGGGACCGAACTTGAATGTGGAACAGGTTTTGTCATAGAAGCCACTTGTGGATACTCAACTGTTTTGTGACGTCCTTGTTGCTTAACTTTTGTCAAGCAGAAATAACAATCCGTTGCATGACAAAACGGTCGACGCCATATGGTGGGCATGTCAAAGGACAAATAGCGACTGACAGATAACAAATAAGTGAGTTAGTAAGTAAGACATTAACACTTATCAAAAATAGATGAAGTAAGATAATGTCGATCAGGAAAGAACAAAGCACTACCATGCTGTACATAAATTGTTTATATGAAAGTTATTCAAAAAATCAATTTACCTTGCGCCTGACATCCACCTAGCCAAGCACGTTTTGCACGAACTACATAATACTTTTGGAATCCACGGTTTGTCAAAGTCTCCAGGATCAATTTTAAAATAAAGCCTGTATGCAGTTTGTAACGAAGCAGTGAAATTGACCGATTTTGTAAATATATAGTTGCCACACGCGTAACAAAACTTTTGAGAATCATTTTTACACTTGAATTCACGTTTTGTCGTATACATCGTTAAGCAATGTTAAAGAAAGAAAGCTGTCAAATTGAGTTGGTTGCGTTAGGTTCTCGCCGAGCGGTCTCACAAACACTAGCGTAAATTATATTGTTGAAAATATCCCATTTAATTTTGCGTGACAGCTGGTAGTGTTAGTGAAATGCACCGTATGCGTACACGTCCGCAGAAAGGCTTACTGGAAGTGGTGCATGAACCTAGGAGCGGGACAACGGCCAATCTTGGAACATTCAATTTCCATGATTTTACAAAAAATTTCATAACTTCGACAATTTTCAACCGATTTCATCTATTAAAGGCTCATTTTCTCCAGTTTTTAATGGACTTTAAGAATAAATTATGGAATGATTTTTTGAATCTTTTTATCCCATTAAAAATGTTGATTAAAACAAGATTTTTATGGAAAATTCGCAGGAAAAATAAAAAAAAATGCTGTAAATTTTTAAATGACTTCAAAATTAAATTTTTAATTAAGACATAATATTTTAGTGAACGATAGAAAATTTATTTAGCTTCACTTTCATAAAAAAAGATTTAAAATTTATGCACTAATTCCAAAGTTATTGACATTTTAGTAATCGTACTTTTGTCCAAAATTCAAAAAATCAAAATTTTTGTATATCTCAAAAATGGCTCTACTTTAATTTTTTCTGACCACGGCATTGAATTCAGCGTAGGATTTTGCATTAGAAACGTTGGTCAACCACTAAAGTTCACACTTTTTATGTTGTTTTGTAAACTAGTGTTATCTATCAAAAAATCCGAAAACATATCTATTGTGCGCCGGCCTTAATAAAGGGTGATACGGTCAAAATTTGGTCAAGGGAAAACGCGTGTAAATCGGTGAAATCGTTTATTTAAAAAATCAAATTAAATTTCTTTTTCAAGTTCAATTAGTATAAAATTCAGGAAAAATATTCAGTTAGGCTTCCGCTTTTCCAAATCCGAATTGCCGGGCCTTACGCTTGACCCCTGCCATCAGATTTTGTACAGCCACCTTGTCCACCTTCTTTGCCGCAGAAAGCCAGTTTGCCTTGAACTGCTGCTCGCCCTTAGCAGTTTTTTTGGTCTTCTTTAGGTTCCGCTTGACAATAGCCCAGTATTTCTCAATTGGGCGGAGCTCTGGCGTGTTGGGAGGGTTCTTGTCCTTGGGAACCACCTGCACGTTGTTGGCGGCGTACCACTCCATGGCCTTTTTACCGTAATGGCAAGATGCCAAATCCGGCCAAAACAGTACGGAACAACCGTGTTTCTTCAGGAAAGGCAGCAGACGTTTATTCAAACACTCTTTCACGTAAACTTCTTGGTTGACAGTCCCGGAAGCTATGAAAATGCTGCTTTTCAAGCCACAGGTACAGATGGCTTGCCAAACCAGATATTTCTTTGTGAACTTCGACAGTTTCATGTGCTTGAAAACATCTGCTACCTTTCCCCTTCCTTTTGCCGTATAAAACTCCTGTCCCGGAAGCTGCTTGTAGTCGGCTTTGACGTAGGTTTCGTCGTCCATTACCACGCAGTCAAACTTCGTCAGCATCGTCGTGTACAGCCTCCGGGATCGCGCTTTGGCCGTCGTATTTTGTTTATCATCGCGATTTGGAGTCACTACCTTCTTGTAAGTCGATAGTCCGGCTCGTTTTTTGGCTCGATGCACGGTTGTAGACGATACACCCAGCTTATTTGCGGCATCTCGGAGAGAGAGGTTAGGGTTTCGCTTGAAACTACCGGCAACTCTCTTTGTCGTCTCAGCGGCTTCCGGTTTTCGATTTCCCCCCGATCCAGACTTCCTGGCTGTCGACAAACGTTCCCCAAACACTTTAATTACATTTGTAACGGTTGATTTGGCAACTTTTAGCGATTTTGCCAACTTTGCGTGCGAGTAGCTCGGATTTTCGCGATGCGCGAGCAAAATTTTGATACGCTGCTCTTCTTGCTTGGACGGCATTTTGACAACTGAAGAGTGAATTCCAAAATCAAAATAGGAGCAACATTCTACACACACACACCTTCAAAATGAGGGGTGTTCAGGTTTTTTAAATGCAAAATTGAAAGAAATACGTCAAGTTGATATTGACCAAATTTTGACCGTATCACCCTTTAATCACGACACGACTTCCACGAACAAGGACTGTACACGGTAAGAAAAAAGTACCCAAAAGTAAGTCCTTTTCACTCATCTCGGCGCTATAGTGCAGGAACTCAAAAGTAGGTAAAGCGGGTCAAAGTAGTTTTCATTTCCTTGTGTGCAATTAAAAGGGAATTTTCCACTAGATTTCCACCCAAAAGTAAGTTAGCTGTACCCAAAAGTAGGTAAATATAATTAAACTCAACGTTGGGTTCCCACACTTTACTACCCCTGTTGGGTGGTTTTGCTTCTCTGTTTGTGACAACATTAGAAGGAGAAAAGGAGACAAACTAGTCAAAAGTAGGTAAAGGTAAACTGGCTGTTGGGTTCTTTTCTCTTACCGTGTAGGATTGCATCAACACGGTAAACTGGATGCAGCTAGAAACTCATCTAAATCCGTCTGCAAGATCATTTAGGGGTTTGTCGAGGGTATGGTTCATTACTATCTCCGATGGAGTAGGATTCCGTCTTCCTGTAAAGCAACTACTTAGCAGCATCTTTTAGAAGTGATTCCACAATGAACTGAAGTCCTCTAAGTAAAAGGTATGGACGCCTGTCATAAGTTGTTTCAAACGAACCGTTAAAATGCACTGTTTTGCTTGGTTGGAGCATTTTTTTTTATCTTTGACTATATGTTTAGTATTACTTCTGCGTGAATTCAACGATTTACATAGTTGGAGATGCTAATTTCAAATAACATACTAAAGTATACGATGAGATGATGAGAAGATGAAAGCATAGAATTGATAGTTCCGTCAGAGTACGGCAGTGTGAAAATTGCACATAGAGAGTAGAAAGCGAGCAAGGACAACTTTAGGAAGGTACAAATCGGTTTTATCATCTCTCTTTACCAAAATCCCCCGTTGGAGAGGCGACGACGGATGGCAGTTATCACGAAGAACCGCTTGGCGCCTTCTTTAACAAGACCTTTTCCTCCTTTGCCACGACCAGTCATTGGTGCTTATTAGGTAGAATAGTGGACCACCTTCCTACTACTGCTATCAGTCGGAAGCATTGATGCATGGAAATATTTCTGATCGATTGGTGATAAAATTATTGAAATTGGTCCTGGGGCAGCTGAGTTATTAATGATCAAAATCTTTCATAATTTTGTTACATGTTCCATTTTCAGTTTTCACAAAGTGTACCCCCATATAGAAATCACAGACGTAGTCCTACGTCAAAAAAAATTATCACTTCTGGCTGAAAATCTATCTGAACTAAAATAAAAGGATGAGCCAGGAAAAACACCATCAAACCATCTTTGTCACATTTCTTAACTCCATCATATCCTTGTTCGAACCGCATATGCTATGGAAAATGGTCATCACTGAAAGGCATATTCCTCACGATCGTTTTTCATCCAATAGTTTATTGTTCAGTTTTCCATAAATTTTGAAACATTCATTAATATCATCTATCGCAATAAATATAGTCATCTATATTCATTCTCATCGTATTCACTATAATCTTCTCGCTTGTTAGTATAATTTCACAGTTTACAGATTTAAGTCCTTTTGTTTTTTCGTGTTTAAATTTATATTCTTTCAATCAGTGCCACTCGGCGACGACGACGACGGTGACAAAGGGGTCCCAGAAGTTCTAGATAGACGACATTTTTTTATCTCGAAAATATTCATTTAACGTCAATCCATCGTTGCTACACACTATTTAGAATCAGTTTTGGTACTAATGCTTGGGTTAGTTTCTATTGAATAAGACAACTTGTACGTGAGTGTGGGTGGAAGGGTGGTGATTGTGATTGTTCTCTCTTGATATAGGGTAGTTTGTTTTCATTTAGAATAAGGTAAAAAAGGTACCTGTAAAATTCCTCAGTTAAATGTAGACCCTCCCCTCTCTTAAACCCAGCTTTGTGATGTGACGACTAATCACTTGGTTCCTAATGAATATTATTTAGTTAATTCCCTTCTGCATCTATCTATTAACCAACTGGTCGTCTGTTTGTAAGATCTCTATAGTGTAAATATCGAAACATAGGGTTAGTATAATAAATTATTTGGTATGTGGTTTACGCTCTTGATTCGCCATTCGTCCATTGATCGTACCGGGGTTGGCGGGCAATGGAAAGTAACATAGACATTTTAACAATTTCAAGAGCGACCGAAAACAACGCTATCTAAACGCTTTGTGATGCTTCTCTCTGCTTACAAATCTACACCAGTAAGTTATAACAGATATAAAGCTAAATCACTAGATCTTTGCACCCGAACCCGTGTTCTCCAGCCGTCGCGATTCGCCAAGGAAACGAGAAATCAACTCAGCTCGACTCTCACTTCCCAGGAGCGAATCCTCAGGCCGTCACGGACTTTTTGGAAGGCTGATGATCCTGGAATTCTACGTAACCGGATTCATCACTGAGGTCCGAATCGGAATCCGTTGCCTGTAGGTGGTTAATTAGTTCCTTATTGACGGCGGCTACCGTGGATTTGAGGCGACGCACTGAGGGAGCACTGGAAGATGTTGAGGGTTTCGCTGAAGATGGCGTGGGCGATGTTGTGAGCGAGTCCATCGGGTCCTCGGAGAGTGATTCTTCCTCGTGGACGATGGAACTTGAGGAGACCGGAAGGAGGAAGCTCGTCTTCACACCAGGAGCCGGGAATGTAATGCTGCGCTTGAAAATGGACGTGTCGTGGTGGTGTTTGCCGAGAGGAGTCTTTTCGCCAATCGGTTCGTGGATGACTGGATGTTCGGCGAGTTGCTCAAAGCTTCGAACCCGTTCAAGAACGGAGCAAGGTTTGATGAGAATGGCCGCAGTGGATTCATCAGTATTGGTGGTAACTGTACTGGAGGTCTCACAGCCGCTGGAGATGGAACCTTCATCGCTGTCCGAGTTGCCGGATATTTTATTCGCTACGCAAAGCAACGACGGCGGAGCAGTATCATCGTCGCCGCAGGGTGCCTCGCCAGAAGTATAGCTGTTTGCAGATTTGACCGTGCTGCGAAGTATTTCAAGGACGTCGTTCTTGTTGAAGAACACGTCGTCTTCAGTATCTTCGTGGTCTTCGGTATCCTCGCCGTAGTTATCCAAATCATCCAAGCTTAGTGCTAACCGTGCATCTTCTAACCGTCTTCCGGTTTCGGCTTCGTCTTCTCGCTGACTGCTGCTCAGATCGTGCATGCTGGCCGTCACTTTGGGACTCAGTTTCATGTCCAGATACGATATAAGCTCCGACGACAGAGGCTCTTTGGAATTATAATTGTAGTTCATGAGGAATGTTTCGAAGTCGTCTTCGGACGAATCAGAGTGGTGAACCGCTTTCACTACGGTTTGACTATCTCCCGTAAGTTCTTCGCTTTCAGCCAAGTGCTCATCTTCCTCCTCCTGCTTGATTGTATCCAAGATCGAATCCACTGACTTATTCATGGGGTTTTCCTGCACGACATTTTCATTCTTCAACGGTACTTTGGCTTCAACGGCTTTGGGTGATTTGAACGAGTTTCTCAGCCGGGATCTCCGAATCGAGTGCCCCCTCCGGCATCTTCGCCTACCCAGCGTGGTTGATGGGAACAATGAATCCTCCTTGCAGCACGCTCGGATATCATCGCCTTGACTCTTGCTCACCGGCTTACTCGCTCCAGCCGATTCGTCTTCTTCTTCGTCCTCTTCGGCGATCATTTCCTCGATTGCCATTAGCTTCGGAGCCGATTTGGACCGTTCCAGCGGGGGTCGATAGTTGTTGGCACCGACACTGAGCATGATCTTCCGCCGCGGCATGCTCGGGTTGTCGTACACGCTGTTGGCCAAGCTGAGCCGGGCATTTTGCCGGTTCAGCTTGTCCCGCTTAAACTCCTGCAGGGCTTTGGCTAGGTTTTCCTGGAATAGAATGTATGGTTTAGTGAATTACCCGCTGACTGTGATAAAACCCCGCATGAACCTACCTTCAGCGTGGTGCTGATTTCCTTAGCAACCGACTCTTTGGAACAGATGACCGCATGGCAGCGGAACTCGTGCTTCAGCTTTCGACCCTCGTGCCTGTAGATCCAGCAGAAGACCCGTGGGTAGTTCTTTGGCGCCGTACAGTAGGTTATCCGGTGGGACCAGTACTCCGTGAGGCCGTGCTGCCGGGTGGTGGCTTTCAGTCCCGAAGGGCACAGGCACAGCTTCATCAGCACGTCCGGTTTGCTGTTCTGGGTGTAGTTCCTCCACAGCGTGGCCAGCGGTTTTTCCACGCAACCTTCACCTGCAAAAACAAAGCAAAACAAAACAAAACCAATTGTAATGAGATCTGTTTGCATAATAATCAAAGCTGCAGCTATTTCGATGCAGGAGATGAGAAGACAAATTACATCAATGAATGTACATCGTCGTCGGTTATGTCACTCGAAGGCTATTTAGGATGCAGAAAAGGTGCCTCTCTCTATATCTATTTCGTTGAGTTGATTTTACTTCAATTTCAACCCTCGATTGTGTTGTTTTACTTTGCTGAGTTTCCTTAAATCTTCACCGCCCCCTCATCCACTGATTTTTCAAATTACCCATTCGCCATCGTCCTGGTCTTCATTATTGTATCCGTGATCAGTGAGAGCACCACCACCGCGTGCGTAATCAATCGATCAAACATGAAGCAGTCAGACACCTATCCATCGTCGCCGTCGCGTCGTCGTCATTCAACATCGCGGCGCGACTTTTCAATTTTATTTTCTTTGCATTCCATGAGCAAAATTGCCTACTATTGCCTGCGGCGACTTTTACTACTACTGGGGCAGCATGCAAAGAGCAAAGACATTAGGCCAACCGATTACCTAATGATCCAGTTGCCGTGTTTTGGCTAGCCAGATGAATTTATTTTCCTTTTTGATTGCGCTCCCTATTTGTACTCTAAGAGTGGAGGCCCCTCCGCAGGCTGGGGTTAGAAGGTGGGATGGGGGATCCGTGTTTCGAATCGTTGTGGTTCATCAACAATATAGGATAAACGTCATCTTCGTCAGTTCGATTTTGGCAACAAGCTTAAAAATATGCACATTAGGGTGCTACATTTTGTAAAAACATATTTCACTGTTACTTTTTCGATGGGACGCATAAGCTTTTATATACAATGCATATGATCGTCGAGTTTGCGTATCAAAAGATGATACGTCCCTTCGAAAAAGTATGCGAGATTTGCAATCTTATAGACCACCCAGTTTGATTTATAACCTAAAAAAATATGAGCCTGTGCAAAAATGGTTAATATTGATGAGGGTTTAAAGGTCACGCAAATAGTACCCGGTAAGAAAAAGTATCCAACGGCCAATTTACTTTTACCTACTTTTGACTAGTTTGTCTCCTTTTCTCCTTCTAATGTTGTCACAAACGGAGAAGTAAAACTACCCAACAGGGGTAGTAAATAGTGGGAACCCAACGTTGAGAATAATCATATTTACCTATTGTTGGGTACAACTAACTTACTTTTGGATTGAAAGCTAGTGGAAAAATCCATACAAATTGCACACAAGTAAGTGAAAATTACTTTGACCCGCTTTACCTACTTTTGGGTTCCTGCACTATAGTGCCAAGATGAGTGAAAAGGACTTATTTTTTGGTACTTTTTTCTAACCGTGTATGAATTTTGTATGGGGATTCCCGAGCAAGAACCAATAACTAATAGATTACATATCCCGAGCAGGAACGAATATCTCCATACCTTAAATTGGTATGGATGAGCCTGACATACCAAAAAATAATAAAAATTTTTTGGTTCCCACAATACCATTCCAATACCAAATTATGATAATGCAATACCACACAGGTATTCTTTTGGTATCCAAATATTTCGGCAATTTGGTATCCTATAGGATTTCGGCAATTAAAAAAAAAATCAAAATCGACCGCATTACGAAAAGAGGTCAGGTTTTGACCACATATAACTCTGTCAATAGCAGATGGATTTTAATCCAAAACAAGCCAAACGATTGAGAATTTATCTACCAATCTGCTAAGCTGAACACTTTATTAATTTTCAATAGGTCAGTATTGAAAAATACACAAATGTCCAACTGTTGCAATGGTGATCAAAATTATCACCGATTGCCTGCAAAAAGCGCTTTCCCTATCATAGATTTAAAAATCGAATTCGATCTTGTCTCACTGAACGGTGCTCATTCAATCACCGTGTGTGGTTATGTCTGGTCGTCGGTGTCCGCAGCAGCAGTGCTTTGGGCGTGTGGTGTTGAACATTGTTCTCCAGTACACAACGAAAGACAGCCTGCAAGCAGCGAACTGCAGAGCCCACATGAGCATCCATAGAAGGAGGAAGAAGCCGCACCGCTATGGATCCAAATCAGTTTCCTCGTGAGTAGCTGTGGGTCATTAGACTGGCCCACATTTATATGGGAGAAAATTTTTATCATTTTTTTCAACGGACCAACCCCCATATTGGTGCCATTAGGTGAGAAAACCACTCTCTGAAAATTTCAGCTCATTCGGATGTAACACGAGCTGGCGCTTTTTGCTTAAAGTTTATATGAGGATATTGGTTGAAATGTATGGAGAAATAACATCCCTTCACTCATTCGTGCATAAAACTGGTTCAGGGGAATGAAACTACGGTAAAACGTGGCATTCTTATTAGATTACGACACGACTGTACCGCCGCTACGGGATCACAATTGATCAGATCGCCCTAGATGGTCTTGAAACTGCTGCAGTGGATCCTAAAATTGTGCTGGAAACCATTGCCGTGGATAATTAGACAGAATTGCTGCTTGGGAAACAGGAAACGCTTCTTTGGAATTAGGATAAAGTGGTACATACAAATTCTCGCAATTACCAAATACCACATGAACATGTCAAGTAACCATGGTTTCTAAAGTGAAAAAGCAAAAAAATGTCGAATTTATATGATTGATCGCGATTGGAAAAATTTGAGTAAGAAATTTCTCCAATCAATATTCGTTTTTTTTATTATCTATTGAATAAACCAAAATTTTCGTGCGTTTTGTGCACGTAAATGCTTAATTTTGTCATCAGAAAACAAGGCTTTTCCGTGATGGAAAAAGTAGTTTCCCTAGCACAGTCGCCGAATATTGATACCAAGCACTGAGCATGCCAGACGGTACCAATCTTTATGCCTTTTGGTGCAAAGTTTTAAGCCCCTCCTATTAAGAGCATTTTGCAAAAAAAAAACCTTTCCGAATTCTCTTGATAGAAGGGGCTTACAATTTGCATCCAAAAGTATAAACGTAGTTACCGTCCGGTAGGCTCAGATTCTGTGATTGATGTGTTTTCCCTAATAGGGAAAACGGCTCTAATGTTGGCCTATGGATCTAAGATTGGACCCATCGCTAAAAATCAGCTATTTATCAATTTTATCTGGATGAACGCGTCATTGGGATGGTACTAATGGATATTTTTGGTCGCCATTGAAAATCTAGTCGATTACTGAATGTAAGTATGGGCCCAAATTAGGGGCATTTATGCCGACATTATGTCTATTTCCCCTACGTATTTCATTTCCGCACCGCTATCATTTCCAAAACCATCGGGGAAAAATGTCCACAGTATTGTTCTTAACTAGCTTCCAAGCTTCCAACCCATCGGTCCTTTTTAGGACCACAAATGGCTAATAAAAGAGTAAACTAAAGAGTAAGAGCTTGAATCCGAGACATCGTCCAGGATTGGCTTATACTACATGAACATCGACAGAGCACTTCAAAAACAGAACTCTCAAATTGCTTCCGAATTTCCACCTATCGAAATGTTTCACTGATAACGAGTTAAGAAATCAATTTAATATTTACTATACTTTTGCTGTGACATCATAACTACCTTTCGTAATCCTACGTCAAATCTACGGTCGTGTCTTGGATACAACCTCTTACTTTTTGGTATTATTTTTTGGTATTTTACCTCTTATGTCAGGCTCATCCACACCAATGTAAGGCATCGAGATATTCGTTCCTGCTCGGTTTATGTCATGCTGATCAATATCAAATTTTGGTATCAGGTCAGAATTAGGTATTCATTAGTTATTTTCTCCTGCTCGGGATGAATGTAACAATGAAGAATGAAACTTTATTTTGGTATGCTTGTGGTACAAAACCTTGATTTGATATTATTTAGTTATCGAAGTATTTTGTAAAATATCAAATTGTGAGGCATAGAATGGTTGCACTGTATGGAACAGTATATTTGAGTGGTTTTCAGCAACACTGTCTGAGCCCAGCACTATCAACTGTGGCGAACGGGAGCGACTGCGATGCCGCCGGCGCCGCTGCTGCTCTCGCATTATGCGCCTGATTCGTAGTCAGTCGGTTGAAGCGGTAAGTGCGTTGTGTGTTTGCTGAGTGATTCTCCCGTCTCATATAAATAGATCAGTGCACGGTCCCTAACCTCACTTTTTGCTCCCTATCATTTTGCTTCTGAGTAAAAGAGATAGCAACGAATGGGAGCCAAAACAAACCACCCAAAACTGTCAAAACTTACGGGTGAGAGAAGAGTGCGGCAAATCTTCGTGAACTGATCAATTAGTTTTCACAATGGCGTCCGTGGTAGGCTTGCTTCCGCGTGTGCGGAAGCAAATAATTACAGTTTTAAGATGCATTATTCGGGAGAATCGCTCAGCACGTAGATTGAAAAAGTAAAAGTGAAGTGAAGAGAAAGAAATGTTATTAGAATAGTGGTAGTGTGTAAAAAAAATTAAAAACCGGATTGACTGAGGTATTTGATTATTATTTTTTGGTGTCCGGTTGCCATCACCGTGCCATTTGTATTTTCGGGTATCAGATGTTGCTATTATGGATTTTCGTACATTTGAATGTATATGAAGCTAAATTAATTTAATATACTTGTGTGGGTCGGGATGACCACCATTTTGCGTTGCTGTTCGTGTATTGGAATGTACACGGTGTTGACTGATAGAGTAAGGAAAGCTCATCAAGTTACTTGTTTGGGTAGGTCCAGATGACCAGCATTCTGATTTGTTTAACGTGTATCGGGATGAACATGAACATAATGGATGGAGCTAAACATGCTCATTATAATTTAATTGATCTGTGTGCGTCGGGATGACCACCATTTTGTGTTGCTTGCCGTGTATCGGGATGAATACGGAGCTGGCTGATGGAGTGCAGAAAGCTCGTTGACTGTTTTTGGTGGGTCGAGAAGACCTTCGGATGCAAAAGGAGTGTCATTAATTTTGGATAGACACCGTGAAAGTACAAAGAGGGTGCTGACACGAGCAGATGGTTGGGCTCTAAGGCT